GAGGGGAGGGCACAGGGAGAAAGGATAACTCCCAACTCACTTTTCATGTGTTCTCTCAACTCTCCGTTTTCATGTTTGAACCGAGCCACTGGTGAATTAACCAATTCTGATTCTTTTTAAAGTTTGTGGATAAAATGTTCGGCGGCCTGTTTACTATACGCAAATCTTTACAGTGGCAGACTGGAAGTGTGTGGGTCCACCGTTTGACACATTTTACAGCATTTATATCCATTCCACAGAATTCTATGGAGGAAGTCCGCAGATTGCATCCGGGCCTATTAATGAGACATCAGCGAGTTAAAAACAGGATAACCGATTCATCTAGTCTATAAAAACAAATGCACATTCGCATCGCTGTCTGTTTACTTTTCTTCATTGTGTTTCTTGACAATCTATTGTTCATGATTCACATATAAGGCCTGCCATTTACCTACATTGTTCCCTCAGAAACAAATGCTTGTCCAACCTTCCTGAGGATGGGAAACAAGAGACGGCTAAGGAAGAAAAAGAGAGGCAAAGAAGGAGGAGAACAGGAGTTTTTCCAATAAATTGGATGACATCAAAACTAATCCTGTATAGCCTCAATCCATAGATGACATGCAGCGAAAGCGAACAACAGCTAAAGAGAACAACAGCTAAAGAAACAATCACTGTCATCATCATAAACGTTGTGTTTTACAAGGGGTGCTGATGTTAACAGATGATGTAAAGCGCAATGCTTGTCTCGGCCATTCACTGTAATGCCACCTCCTCCCCCCTCGGTTCAGAACCATCATCGGAGTAATCTTAAAACTGTAATTACTCTTTCCACACACAGCATAGTAACATGCCAGGGCTTTGAAGGCATGCCAGAGAAGCACCTCTGAAACCGAAAATTAAATACAAGTGAAACAAGAGAAGGAGGTTTTCATCACGAAGATGGCAGGTCCAACTAAATAACATTGAAATTGAATTGAAGTCAAACTATGAAGTTTCAAGGGTTGCTGGTATAAATTAAATGCCTTTCTGGGAACACAAGAACCATAGGAAAGAAATTAAAAATGAAATTTCAAAATATAAATGAAAAATAAAATAAAATGTAAAAAAAAAAAAAAGTAAATGGAGAATTCTGCTTAAACTTCTTGTTTCAAATGTTTCTCCTGAAAAAAAATGATCTAATTAATGTCATGTGTCTACAGAGTTTCACAAAACATCTCAACATAGATTTCATTAACATTTGCATGTCTCTAAAGCTATTCATATGTAAAATGCTTTGGGTTTACATGTTGTCAATTATGTTAATAATATACATGTCAGGGTCTATGAAAATGTGCTAGAACTGCACTTTACCTGCAACTAGTTATGATTATTAATGAGACCACATTGTCAGATTTGCCAACAGAAAAAAGTCTGGAAGTTTCAGAACTCAAACATTTCAAAGTATCCGACTAATCTCCTTACTGTACATCAATAATTATTTCATTTGTATTTCCCCCAAGACATTAGAAGAAATCTCAGAGATAAAGTTGATACTATGAGCTATGAAAGAGCAACCTCTGAGCAATAAAATTATCCTCTGGGAAAGAGAGAGAGAGAGAGCAGTGACACAAAAGAATGAGGTAATGAATGAGGAGAGAAAAAAAGAATTAGATGAATAGGTGAAGGGAATGTGACAGAGAGGGAGAAAGACATTAACCCCGGAAAGAAAAAGCGCAAGAGAGAAAGTGTGTATAGAGGTAGTAATCCCTTCACAAATGGCTTTGTTGCCTGTCTGATGATGGAGCAGTCCATATGATGAACTAATGGAGGGGTGTTGTGTAGAGGACTATCCTCCCACTCTCACACCCCTGGAAACTGAGGTCAAGTGGTACAATTCCATTTTCAGTCCATTTAATACCACAATCACAATCTCTCTTTTAACAATGTAACATTTCCATGAGGTCTTATCTCTTCAAAAAAAAAAAAAACTCTCTCACACACAAATGGCTAGGAAATATTGGAGGGACTTGCACCGTGAAACACATTTATAAATTCTAAATCCATTCTTTTCACTAACAATGTTTAATCTCGCTCTGCCCTCGGTCCCTAGAAAGGCTCTATACAGGATATTTCATCAAAGGAGAACCAATCAATCGATTTGCCAGAAAAAACCTACTGCGACAACAGTAGAAGTCAAAAGTCTGAAGATCTGATGTAGGCTCTGTGCTCTTCCTGTCAGTTTTCCAAAGTATCTTTTCCTACCCTTAAAATGTTTTAATTTGAAACGCTCAACCCAGTTAAGAAAGCTTTTATCTGTCTCCAATTAGCAGCTGATTCATTAAATATTGAGGGAGCCATGAAGGATTCAATTTTTAATGTATATTTGAGGCAGAGAGCTGTACAACAACTTCCCCCGGAGCAATGCATAGAGACATTGATTACACTCATTGAGGGGCTGAAATCCACTCCTCTCCTCCCACGCACCCCTCCATCCCATAACCTGTCTGACCCGTTTCAACGTCATTTTTTCTCTCCGCAAAGGCTCTATGGACATACTTAATGGTTTTCTCCAGACATCAGGGTACTACATGACTTCACAAGACCTTTGAAAGTTGTCAGGTTAAAGTCAACATGAAATCAAAACTGACCATATTTACATTTTAATTAATGTTTCATGGTCCTATTGTAAATTATGCATCAATGTACTTTATTCCAAAAACTGTCTTTGTAATCTTTAATAGAAGTGGTAAGTTGCTTTTCCTCTTTTTCTGCTGGCATCACTTAAGAGTTTTAAACTTTTTGATCCCAAGGACCCCAAAATAGGATGACATTCCCCTCTTAAAATATAAAAGCAGCTTTATAATTAATTTTTTAATGTACAAAGACCCAGTAATATTGTTTGAGAAAAAAATGCTCTTTGCAAAACTATTGTTTTATTATATTACTGTATTTTACTGTAATGAAAGCCAAAGTAAATTATAAAGATATTATCTGTAAAATATTGTATTAGTATTAAGCTTAATGTATCTTTTTTTGCACCCACTAGTCAAGTAATGTTAAATGAATAAACCTGAAGACAAGCATTTTAAATTAATTTCAGAATTATTTCTAAAACAATCTTTTTAAAATAAATATTGTACTTTTTTGTGTGTGATAAATATATTTAATGAATATTTTAAGTCAACACATTCACTTAAACAGCCCTACAACTAAATAAAAATTTTTAAAATATTTTCCACAGACCCTCCCCATGCAGCCCTAAGGGGAACCCAAATTCAAATTGTACCCCAATTTGAAAACTCCTGACTTGTGGTCTTTTAGGTTATATTAACCGGTGGCCAGTCAACCTTCAAAGTCTTGTTTCAACAAACATGCATTCGGTAATGTTTTCCATTTTTGTAAGTCATGATCCAATCAATTCCTGATGGAAAACATGTCCCAGACTACCATTTTACTCTCATTGAACTTTCAGTTTCACACAATCAATATGTCAGATTATGGAAGCAAATGACACATTGACACGCTGCCGTAGATTCTTGATGATTTTTTATATTATTAATTAATTTTCTGCCATTTCTGTGTGTATGATGAAATGTTCAATTGTCTTGTGGGCAAATGTGTCAAAAGTGTGTGTGAGAGAGAGAAGGAGAGAAGGAGAGAGTGAAAGGAGAGCGAGATGACCTGACAGGGATGTGGCTGTCGGGGTGTGAGTAAACACGCCGACCTTTTCAGATATCAGAGCGACATTTCTTTCACATGGATGGATGAATGACTTTCTCTATTGCTTTTTATATATGACTTTATCGGCACAAACCCCCGCAATTCCTTCTCTCTACTTCATAAATTGAAACTCTGGCTCAGCATCTGTTTAATCTTTATGTTCTTCTCTCTTTTAGACAACCATGTTTATCTTTTCCGCCTCAGATCTATTTGTCTTCCCTAATTATATTTCTCTACCATCCGTCTGTCAGGGTGAAGCTCTGAAGTTCTCAGAGGCAGTTTTTTAACAAACCAACTGCCTAGTTGCCTAACCAGTATTTTTTTCTTCCACTTATTGATTCATCTCCTTCTCAGGGATGAAATAATTCCTGATTCGGTCTCTCACCCAAGGTCTTAAAGTGGCTTCTCCTTTCCTCTTGTCCAGAGAGCATCCTCAGCACAGACAAAAATCAAAGGACCTTTGCGTGGGTTTGTATATTGTGTCACTGTGGGTGAAGCATGAATACCTTATCTAGAGAGGGCATGCACGCGACCCATAATCGGGAGGCAGCCAGCCGGAAAATGCCCCCCTGTCTCTCTCAGTTGAGTGTGTCTGTCCAAACCGTTAACTAGACTGTGTCCCAGGCCAAAGTCACCCCTGTCCCAACTGAGGCTAAGTTTATATGTACATGGTTCCCACATTTTCTGACCTATTTCCATGATTTTTCAATTACTTTTCAAAGCTGGATAATGGCTATATAATTTTAGAGAAATTATACTTGCAAAAACATCTAGACAAAGAAAAACTTCAGAACATGGAGCACAACTAGCCTACACTTAGGGCCTACAAAAAAAAGTTCAAGTTTAAAAGTTACTAGAAAAAATACTAGAATATGTTTTACAAGAAAATATGATTTCAGTCTTTTTACTTCAAAATGTCATGTTTAATTCAATGCGTTAACTGCAGTTTGTAATTAATTGTGAAACTTACAATTTCTGAGTGAAAATTGTTTCTACACCTAATTTTATTTTTTTCAGTGTACAAAAAATATTGTTGACTCTAGAAATCACACTTTGAATGATATTTTTAGGTTTTCCGGGACCCCGTATGTGGTTTACAATGAACTTGACAAAGTATCCTTTAATGCGAAATCAAAATGTAATCAGAATCATCTTTCTATGGTGCAACATTCTAGTTTAATTCTAGGATTATATGCATGAATGCAAATATTACAATTTATTCTAAATGGAGATCTGTAATTGGAGGCATTCAAGTCTTTAGAAGACTGAACTTGAAAAACTTGTATCTGTGCGTATGAGTTTTATATCAACCACCAATGTACCTTCTGTTCAAAGAGTTCCAGTAGACTGGCTCCATGTTGGTTGCATCCACTGCTAAACTCTCCATCAGGAAGATTAAGAGAATTCCCAATCCACTGACCCAGTCCGAGAACGCCATAGACAGCCAGGCTCCCCTTGTCTGGACTCCCATGTTCCTCCTACAAGACAAATGAATGGGACCTAACAGAGACAAAAGACTGGTGGAGGGCTGAACTTCACTAGATCCCTCTGCGCTTGAGGAGATGGTGGGACCGCAACATCCACATCTGAAAAACTCGGAGAACGAATCTCTGAATGTTTGTAAAAGAAAGCAGATTCAGAAACATCAACCTCCTTTGTTCCATTCAAAGGAGGCAATGACCTCAAGTGAAAGTCCCAATTTTGGTCAAATTTGAGAAGGCAAAGCCATCTGGTCAATGTATGAATTTCAAACAATATTACTAGTGTGCATGGGGGTGAAGTTAAATGTTTTGAAGCGCACGTATACTGATACGGGGCGCCAGGTCCACTGCAGGTGATTTCTTAGGAATGTTTCTCCATCAACCGCAGCATTAGCATTTCTATCAAGGACTCGGAGTTGTATTTTTACTCCCGTTATGAAAATGAACATCCACCCAGTACAAAAAATTCAGTCTTTCCGCGGACAAAAGTGTTTAAGTTGTGTAGTACTTTCACGCTGGTGAAGAGCACACCTCTGACAATGTCCAAAATGAGAGATCCAGAACTTTTCGCTCATCTAATATCCAAAATATTTACGTAAATACGATGTCCCAGTCCTGAAACAACAGCGAGTGTGTCCACCAGCACTTACTTACCCAATGAATTACAGTCCGACAAGAGACAAAACCCATTTAGGGCATTGAAAGGAGGTAAGTGGCAGTAATCGGTAAAAGTCTGCTGTAACAAACGCAGAAACATTGGACACAAGAAAGGAGATATTCCTGTAGTCCATGGAAACGACGCGTGCCGTTCGCTCGGTCCTAATCTCTGCAAAGTCTCGCGCGCCGGCAGCACTGTTGCCAGATCTCAGGAGAAACAAGCAACCTCGTCTGAGAAAACAAGTCTAACCGAAAGAGGCGAGCCCTGTTTTTCATTTCTAAAGGTTTAGTAGTTGTTTATAAATTATGGGGAAGGTATAACTCCGTAATTTCATTGATCAACACAGAAACACAAATATTAAATACAATCTAGATTAAAAATATTATTATTTATTAAATAATAGTACATTTTAATGCACTAATTTCAATATTAAGCAATAAAAAGTCCTTTTCTAATTATTAAAATTAAGAGGACATGGAAAAAGTCATTTTCTAATTATTAAAATTAAGAGGACATGGCAACAACTGCTGGTGGTGAGCGCGCGTGTTGGTGACTTCTGTTGGGGAGGAGAGTTTGAAATGCGTCTTGAGAAAAGCTCCTCTCTGAAGTATTTTTCAATACTGTTGAATTTAAATGTCACTGCAGCTTGTCGACCAACAAACCAAAAGAACTACTATGTTATAAACTGTGAGGACGGCAGGGCTCGAGTCGACTTCCAAGAATAGCGCCTCAACTTTATTCGAGGCACATCAGGACAAGGTTTGTGTACTTAAACCTTATGCCCTGTGTCTAATCTAAAAAGTGTCAAAAACAGTAGGCTACAAAAGATTGATGCCGGGTTCCTTGGGGAATCAAATGGTGGAATTAAGTTTATGCTGTGAAGGCCTTGAGATTAATCTAGAATTTGTTGATACCGCTGACTGAATATCAAGCACCGATTATCACCGAATCTTCTGCAATGTCACTTACTGTACTCTCCCTGAGGTTCTGAAGCAGTGTGATTGTACTGCCTCATAGTGGAAAACAGCCGCAAAGCAGGAGTCAAATCTGACCGCATTTAAGACTAAACGCCAACAATTGTAAAAATGACAGAAAACAAGTTCAGCATTTAATTGTTTTTTTTTATTTTCAGTATAACATATTTTGATCTTCTCAAAGCAAAACTAACCCCCATGTTCTGTACGTACCCACTTAATCATTTAAAACTAAAACTAAATTAAATGCCAAACTGATAGAAGGCAAACTACCACTTTTTAAACTTCTTTTTTCAGATTTCAGCATATACCAATGTTCATTAACCTTTATCTGTACATGTCAATAATTGGAGTTATTCACTTGAACATCAACATACCAACAATACATAGAAAACACTGTGGAAACATCCCACTGTCTTGTATGATGAGTAAAGTCAAGGTAGGGGAAAACATCCTCAGCCAGGCTCATATTCCTTTAGATGACTGAATGGAGTAGATATAGCCTGTGCTGTTTTTTTCTAACGAGTGTTACATTAATGTTGACCAGGGCAGTTCTATTTTGTACAATTAAGGCATGTGAAACACCCAAAATGATGGCCTACGATGGACAGAACTCAACAAACAGGGACCAAAATCATTTACATTATGTACAGGGCATCCAGTCCCCACCTCGCCCACGAGCGAGATGGAAGAATGCACGAGTGTCTTTGTACAGACACATACAGTCTCTCCACATGCATGCACACACCTAGTCTGTCCGTGGGTCCCATTCTACGCTGTCAGGACAAAAGAGAGATGAAGAGAGAAAGAAAGAAGAGAAAGAGTCGTGGTCTCTTGCTTAATCCAGTTCGACGAAATCAGAAGACGCGTACTGGTGGGTGTGATGGTCCCAGCAGAGAGATCTAGGTTACGTCCATCCTGGAAAAACAAAACCCAGCCAGGATTAAAACAACCATAATGGGAGTAAAATTACAATTTTCAACCTCGGCCTGTCGCATCTCACCTGCTTCACTGCAGCTCAGCTTTTCCACAAGCATCCATGAACTCCATAATGTCACCAATTGCTGTAATACTCTCATTTTTTCATTGTATTGACAGGCAATCATGACAAGTCTGTGTCCTTGAGATTTAGTTCAAGTGAAGTGCGCGAAGAAACAAGGAGAGCTTGCATCAGTTCGTCTCCTCTCTAAACATTCATCACATCTAGACTCCTCAACCCTTAGCAGGGAAGGAGGTTTTTGAAGAAATATGATTGATAGACGTGAGAATCTGCGCTTTCTCCACACAGTAATCTTCTAAGAAGGCATAAAGGTTTTTTTTTATCATCAAACATTCAAAAGGACCACTTTTTTTCCAAATGCTGTAGGATTTTCCTTCATTTGATAGTGTTGCAGAGAGCAGTGGGAACCGCAGCTCAAAGGATGCAGAAAAATCCATCCCTTTGGTGTGAGGATGAAATGGATCCGCACATATTCCCTCAGTCTCACTCTCTGTGTGTAGCACTAAATGCAGCTGGTTGCCACTCCTTTTCAGACTCCAGGATGGCGTTTGAAATAGTGCTGACATCCACTTCTCCGTGCTTGGTTTCAGTCATTGTCTTTAAATTTTTTTTTTTTTTACAAAAATATAATCCAGTCAGAATAGAGTGAAATACGCTTAAAGCAGGATTTGTTTTCTTTTCTACAGATCAAGTACCAAAATCTCCTCTGTTCTGATCCTCAGTCTCTTCCTATTCAGAGGATTCAGGTGAATAAACATTTATGATGCAAAACATCACATATTTCAATCCCAAAAGTCATGTATTGGAGGGGGAATAGATTTTAAAACAAATTACTGCTACACACTGCAGATTCTTGGCTCTCAATGGCCCTGTGTCAAGAGCGCAAGTAACAAGACGGCAAAACAACAGTTCCATCAAGATGTTGGGAGACAAACGGAATCTCCGGGTGCTGTGAGAAAGTTCTGGAAGAGCACTAGCAGCCAGAGACCATCAGCTTGGTACAAGCCATGCGCGTCCCAGAATCTGACCTCTGACAATAGGCATATTCCGAATGGTTAGGCGTGTCCCATTTCACTCTGGGACACTCAAGCCTTGTTGTTAGATGTACTGTTATACATAGTTTGTTTTGGAATACATTCATTCATAATACAATGTCCTCAAGAGGCAAAAAAAAAAAACCCTAACAAATAAAAAAAATATTATTCAAAAAATACAAGGTAGCAGCCTAGAAAGTGCTCCAACTCAAATTCCAAATACTTTGTATAGAACAATAAAAAAATAAATCATTCATCCTTTTCCAACAGCAACAAAAAAAAGAAAATAAAGTAAAACAACTGACATACAGAATCACAGTGCCCTTGTGACTGTCTCAAAACACCAGCCAACAGAATCCACACACCCACACACACTTACTTTCTGGACAGAAGGCAACATTTCACATCGTGGACTGAGAATGAACAAAAGGGAAAGAGTTGTAATGTAAGTAGTTTGTGTACAGACAACAGCGGCGCTACATTTATACATCTAACACAAACCCAGAGACCCCGATTGCCCTCTTAGAACAGAGCCAAACGGGCCAAACAGCACCTCATTCATGCTTTGAAACACTGGAGGGTAAAAACGCAATGCTTGACTGTCCTATCGGTCTCTTTAAGAGCCTATGTACAAAAAAAAGCACAAACACAAACTACTTCTGTCCGTTCATGCACACACACTCAATGAAGTACAAAATTGTGTTGAACAAAATAAAAGCATGGCATTTGTTTTATACACGTCGGAAAGCAATAAAATGTGTGCAGACTTCATCTCTTATGCTTGCACACACGCTCACAAAAAACCTCAACCTATCCTAACTTTTTTTTTTAATCTTTTTTTTTTTTTTTAACAAGTGCAAATCTTCAAGTTTTCAAATTCATATTTTTATAGCTTTACCATGAACATAAAAATACAACAGTGTTTGTCTTTTATGAGAGATGCTCAACTTATATCTCCCCAACAACGTTTCTCAACCTCAACGTTTGATACGGCAGAAACCGCTCCATTCCTACTTCTCGTATGTATATTCATACAAATATTCTACACATAACATATGCAACAATATATTCACACATTTTTGTATTGTAAAAAAAAAAAAAAAAAGACTTCCATTTCAAATATGAAAACATTAAAGTGCAATGGTTTAGGTAAGGTGCTTTACTGAAGGGAGGCAGAAGAGGATCTCCTCTTTACACCGAACCTCCCAATAACCTCCTTCTGCTCCTCTCACAGTGCAGAGTGAGAGAAAGAGGGAGAAAGAGATAGGGGGTGTGGACAAATATTGCCCGCCCCTTCCCTCACTGAGCAGTGCACATTCCTTTGCTGATTTGCTCCAGGTTTAAGGCCTCAGGTAAACTCAAGTAGACGGGCTGGGTCAGTAATCCTCCACCTGCTCCAGCTCACCTCCCCCCAGGAATGAGTAGCCTGCGGAGGTGGGAAACAGGAGAACAGAGGTTGAGAGGTCTGAGGGTTGACTTTCTACAAAAAATTTCCCATCTGGGAGTATACTAATGACTAATTCATAAACATTGCTTGTACTTTTTTCCTTTGAAGCAGGGCAGAAAATGCTTTTCAATAAGTACATCAGTAAATAGATCCTCTTTGCTAGATGAAGAAATCACTATGACCCAGACAGCAAGAATTTGACAAGGAGCCAGAACGCAGATTAAAAACAGTAGTTCAAGGGTTATTCTCAATAATGTATGCATGCTGATGGGAAAGGTGAATGTAACCCAGCAGGGGTTTGTGAGTGTTCATGCGAGTGTGCACGCTAACCGAGGATACTGGGGTCAGAATGGAGCATCATGCTAGGCTTTTTCTTCGCTTTTCCTCCCTGAGTGTCATACACACTGCCGCCCTTACTCATATGAGCTGCCTGGAACATTGACTGCAAGGAGAAAAACAAGGAATACTTTAAACAATGGACTAATATATAAATATTAAAACTAATATTGAAAATATTATGGCATGTTTTTTTTTTTAAAGAATCTAGTAAAACCATATGCATCTACCTGCAGGGGGAAGTTCATGTTCAATCCAGAGACTTCCTTGGACAGCTGTGGAAAGTTTCAGTACATCAAGACTCACCCAGTGTGCAAAAAAAAATTAAAATAAAATAAAAGCAATGTGCTTTTAAGAATTAAAC